AAATATAACTTCCGTAACTCATTCCAGGTCACTTGCTTCCTGGTTTGTTTGCTCCTGAAGTCCTAATACTCATCTTTGTAATGCAGACTGAGGTCTGTTTTGCACTGTAAATTTTATCAAAACTGAACACGGTTGCTAGAAGTTATGTAAAAATTACCAAGAAACTACTCTTCCTGTTCAGTGCTCTGCCCAATCTCAGTCACCAAGTGATATTGAGCATCCTGTCAGCTGGTAAACTCAGAGGCCACCACATTCAGTGATGCTAAATTTTCATAACATAAACCAGGTTTAGCGTTCTTTGACTTACTAATGTTTGCTGGAAAAAAGAAAAGTGTTCTGAAAAAGATGAACATTCAACAGCAACGTGAAATGTTAAAAATAACTGCATTTTTTTAAGAGATAACTTGTTAAAACAGAAGATGAAGAGGCTAATAATTTTTCAAAAGGCAACTTCTCTAATATCAGATACAATCTGCAAAATTTCAGTTAAGTTGATTTTATTTATCAGTTGAAAGGTTTTATTTTATTTTAAAACTTTAGCACAATTACAAATTTTACACACAAGGAAAGCTGAAGCAAGCATGTTGATAGAACTAAGCAATCATCTGCATCCATTTAAGAAAAAAGAGCTATGGCTACTTCATTATGCCAAGTGAAGTAATTCATTTCACAGCATCAAGCTCCAGGTGGCAAAGTCAGGTACAGCTCCAGCAACTAATCACAATGCCTACTATTGCCCGCCCCTGGTTTAGGGGGTAATTATTTTGGGCGGAGGCCCACTTACTAAGTTTTGGCAAGCCATCAAGGGCCGCATGACAGGCAGCCCAGGGCAGATAAATATTAATTTTTAAATTTTTTTAGGGGCCCTGCAGGCCAGATAGAATGGCTTGGCGGGCCATATCTGGCCTGCCGGCAGCATTTTGCCCACCCCTGCCCTAAACACTAAAAGGAGAAAATACTATGTTTACACTGTATGTTTAGCTTTATCAAAGAAAGCTAACACACTGGTTAAGAATTGGATTGCTGAGGTGTTTGCATGTAGGTGAAGAAGTAAATTTAAACCATGCACATTACCCAAAGGCTTATTATAAAATTAAATTGCAGATATTAGCCACAGTATAGCATCATACTCATAGCTGTATAAGTTCAAGCTGAAGAAGCCACGTTTCAAAGCCATATCACATGTCCTGAATTCTTCCGCTGTGCAATGTGATGAGCAGCACTTTTATGAAATTCAATTATTTTTCCCCCCTTTCTTTTTTTAAAGAAATTCGACTGCACAATTACAGGCAAAGAAACCGCCTCTGACGAAGGCCAGCGGTAGGCAAAGTTTACATTTAACAAAGTGTTGAGCAAAACCTTTGTGCAACCTCCTTCACTCTCATGACCAGAAAGCTACTTCGCAACCCTGCTTGTGGCAGAGCCCCTTCCTTATTTTAAGGAGCGTGGGATCTGCTACTCCTGGGACTCAAGCAACATTTTCATAGTCACTGAAGAGAAACCCATTTCTTTTAATGGGTCCCAAGGGTTTCAAAACCAGAAGAGAAGCAGTAGCATGGGATCTGGTCCCCCCACAGGTGCAGGCTTTGTCAGTGCCATCACCTTTTAAAGCTGCTTTCAGAGCTATTTAGCAGAAGTTTCTCCTCTGCTGCTGCGTGCAACCCCAGCAGAAGGGAAGAGCGCCCTGCCATGGAGGGGAAGCGGCGGGAGAGAAAGGTTCAGACAGAAGAAGGGCGAGAGCCGGCGGCGGGCGAGCCCGAGCCCGAGCGGCCGCCGCCCCTCGCCCGCGCCGCGGAGCGGGGGGGAG